AATTTAAGAGAAAGAACTTACTTTTATTGAGGGCCCACTTGGTCCTGCTTTGCTACATTGCCTCATTTAACTGTAATGACACCATATGCAAAAAAAAAAAAAAAAGAACCCTCCAACCCCTGTGAAGAAGAACTTCAGGTCTGAGGATGGAGGGAGAAATAAAAAGAAAAGAAAAAGATCCTCAAATCTCACGCCTTATATAAAAATTCACTCAAAATGGATCATAAAACTAAAAAACATTTAGAAAAAAATAGAAGAAAATCTCCATGACCTACAGTTAGGCCAACAGTTCGTAGACATGACACCAAACACATAGTCCATGGAGAAAATAATGATAAGTTGGACTTATCAAAATTTAAAAACCTTAAAAAAAACTCTGTGAAAGATACTTGTTGAGAGAATGAAAAGACAGGCTACAGACTGAAAGAAAATATTCACAAATCATAAAGCTGACAAATGACTATATATCTAAGGTACTAGCAAAACTCGACACTAAGAAAACAAAAACTGAATTAAAATATGGGCCAAAGACATGAAGAGGCACTTCACCAAAGAGCATTTATGGGTGGCAAATAAACACATAAAAAGATGTTCAACTTTATGAGTAATTAGGAAAATGCAAATTAAAAATACAATGAAATACCACTACACGCACAAGAGAATGACAAAAAAATTTAAACACGAAAAATGTTTTGCATAGATGTGGACCAACTAGAGCTCTCAAATATTGCTGGGGGAATGCAAAATGGTACAGCCACATTAGAAAATAGTTTAGGAGTTTCTTATAAAATTAAACATATACTTCTATATGACCCAGAATCCTACTCCTGGATGTTTACCTTATGGAAATGAAAACTTAAGTTCACACAAAAACCTCTACATAAATGTTTACAGCAGTTCAATTCACAGTGATCAAAACCTAAAAATAACATAAATGTCTTACAATAGACATTTGGGTAGATAAACTGTGCTGCATGCATGCAATGGAATTATCCTCAGCAAAAAAAAGAGAGGAGGAGGAGGAGAATGAGGAGGAGGAGGAGAGGAAGAAGAGGAAGAGGAAGAAGAGGAAGAGGAAGAAGAGGAAGAGGAAGAAGAGGAAGAGGAAGAAGAGGAAGAGGAAGAAGAGGAAGAGGAAGAAGAGGAAGAGGAAGAAGAGGAAGAGGAAGAAGAGGAAGAGGAAGAAGAGGAAGAGGAAGAAGAAGAAGAAGAAGAAGAAGGAGGAGGAGGAGGAGGAGGAGGAGAAGGAGAAGCAGCAGCAGCAGCAGCAGTAGCAGCAGCTGCAGCAGCTGCAGCAAACTGTTGTTGACGCAACAACTTGGATGAACCTCAAGGGCATGATGCTGAGTAAAAGAAGTCAGCCTCAGTAAGTTACACATTGTACGATTCCATTTACACGGTGGCATTCTCAAAAAGCAACACTGTAGTGACAGACAACAGAGCCTGCCTGTATTCTCTGAGCTGTTCATTTGAACATTCAGGACACGCAACAATCAAGAGTGGAAAGAACTTAAACTTTACATTTATATAAGCCCGTGTTAGAATCTAGGCTCTCAGATTTGCTATCTGATTTCGTGCCTCTATGAGCCCAGTTTCCTCGTCAGTAAAATAACAGGAGACTATTGTGAAAGAAAAAACTTCTTTTTAATTATCATGACTTCTTTTAGTGTACAATTTTGTGAACGTCAGAGCAGATATACTTTCATGAAACCACCACCACTATTGGGATACACAACCATCTCATCACCTCCCCAAACTCCCTCGTGCTATCCTTTTATAGTCACGTCTCCCCACCCTCCAACTCCTGTGAAGAAGAACTTCAGGTCTGAGGATGGAGGGAGAAAGAAAAGAATGAAAGGGAAGAGAAAAGGATAAGGAGGGAGAGAAGGAGAGGGAGGGAGAAGAACGGGGCCAGGGACAGGGAGAGAGGAATTTCCTAACTGTGGTACACATTAATATACAATGGAGATACGAGGTTATTTATATCTCTCTCCTTGACGGCATGATACATTCTCTCTATTCTTAAGATGCATTACCACCCTTCACATCTCCCCCAGATGCCAACCCAGTCTCTATGAACAACCTGGCTCCTTTCCTCCTCCCCCCAAAAACTAAAGGACTTGGTCCTGATTTTCTCCCTCTACCCCTCCCCCAAGTATGGTCAGACAGCACCATTGTCTAATCTAAATGATATGTGAGGGTTGGCCCTACCCTGTGACTGTCGATACTGTACACCACCTGTCCTGTCAGTCTCACATAACTTGCCCCTTCACGCTATCTCAACGGCCTTACCAAAATCATCTCTGCAGCTGGGTAACATCTGCCATTTAACAAAGGAATTTCCTTGCAACCAAATATGTAGGATATGGAGAAAAGACTAGACAAATGAGACACCCTTATAAGGCCTCCACATAATACAGCAATCCTGGCAGGAGGAGGAAATCAGGCCATTCTAGAACTATTTACGAGATAAGTTACTCCCAGTCCAGGAACTGCGTCCATTTAACAAAGGAATTTCCTTGCAACCAAATATGTAGGATATGGAGAAAAGACTAGACAAATGAGACACCCTTATGAGGCCTCCACATAATACAGCAATCCCGGCAGGAGGAGGAAATCAGGCCATTCTAGAGCTATTTACTAGATAAGTTTCTCCCAGTCCAGGAACTGCGT